CACACTGTAACACTGAGATACATAATATGTACCTCAATATATTAGGAGTCAGGGATATTATATTCAGGATTTGTACCTATTAAGATAGAATCCACTAAACTATAGTGGAAAGAGGTTAAAAGTGAGACACCTGGGGCTGTAGTCTACTTATCAACCCTAAGAACATATTATGTTTATTCAAATACACTGGCTTCATTTTCTCAAGTTGCATGGTAACTTGAGGGGCAAGCCAGGTATTAGAAACTTACACTCATTAGCAGTGTAAATGGGTAAATCTCTGAACCTGAGTTTATCATTCACTATATGGATGATGCTACTTGCAAGACTTTTAGGGTTACTATGGACAATAAATGGATTCAATCATTGATCCAAAAATATTAAAGAAATGTATTTTTATTAAACTATAAAGCATTACGTAATTTTTAAGTATTATTAGAATTATTTCATGAAGCAAAAACTCATGCTCAAATATAACACTGACAAAAATAACACTGAATAAGAAATGGTGTGAGTGGCACATGAGAGTGGGATGAGGTGTGCATCTACTTGAAACTCAAGTCCAAAGACCAAAACTCAAACGTGATCCTAAAGACGATAGGTAAGACAGGGTGTCAGTACAGTAGGCCGAATGGTTTTCCTCTTCTGTCCCTTGGGGAGATAGAATTGATGGGCATTATAACAATATTGAGGTCATGAGGGGTAATATTTTGGCAGCTACTTCCTAGATGCATGACTGCAGTGGGGGCCAAACATTCGATAAGGTTACTGGCATCTGAAAGGGGAAATGCAGGGATTTTCTATTCCTTTGTATAAGATATTACCCTGAAAGGAATGTAGGAATTAAATCTTATCCATGAGAGCAGGGGAACGCAAACAAACAAACAAAAATGTATTTAAAAAGAACTGTTTTCTAGTTGTCAGTGTGGATAAATAAATTTTGAAGCAAAAATATTCTTAATTTTAATAGTTTCTTCTTTGATGCCAACTGCTCACAGAACAAACTAATACCAAATGCCCTACAAAATCATTGCAGGGGGAAAAAGAACTACTGTTAAATAATTTTATCATCATTTAAATAAAGAGGTATATAATTTCTCATGTATTATGAAAGGAAAAGAACAATATTAAATGGTTAAAAAGTTACATGATATTTACCTTTTGTGGAAGAGTTACATTTTTCTTGTTCTTCAATGAATTAAATGCACATAATGATGGAAACAAAAGAAAGAAATCAGCAAATTTATAGTTAGACATGAAAATGTGAATCAACACAATGGTATGAATAATAAAATGCATATCATGTATGGTGATAAATTACAATGACAAACATGAGGAGGTCTCAAATATGCTTCTAAATTAATCAAAGAAAGAATGAATACAAGTCAGAGATTTAAAATAAAAACAGAAACATTGGGAAATTAATACATTTGAAAAGTATATTTTGTGGTATTTTTTTCTTGCTTTTTAAGAACTAAAAAACATTTCAGCACCAATTTTACATTTTAAAACATTCTAATTTTAATTCGCTCTTTTTTGTAAAACTATTTAAAAGTATATTTAATATTTATAACTAACCTTTTTATTTAAAAAATGATAGCATTTCAGATAATTTGAAATTTAATATAATCAACGAAAAATAAATTCCATTTTTTACTAGAAGTCGGCATTTTCTTTTCATCATGAAAAATATTCTGTAGCATTTTCCACATGGAAAAAATACAGTCTAATTTAAGTAATCCTTTCTTCCTTCTCAAATCAACGATATTAAAATATGTCATGGTGAAATTGTTCTTTGGAGACTATATTTCTTAGACATTTCATAAAGCTTTATATTAACCTCCGTGTTGCTATACTATTTACTGAGAAATAATGGCCTATCTAGATATTTCTGAAGAGGAGTAGCATTAGAGTTAAGGGTAGCAGATATAATAACAGAACACATAAAAGATAAGTGGCATAGCATAAATAATCTTTAAATACGTCTTCTATAAAAGACATCCAGCTGAGAACAAAAAAACATTTGGTTTCAGGAAACCTACAACATTTTTATGCGACCAACATGTTGCTTTCAGTCCTCATTCTATGTAGGGGCTACACTGGAATACAACACTGAAATATAACCAGATAAATTTCTTGGAAGTCTTTGTTAGCAATTATCACAATACTGTTTGAGTTGCCTAAATTTTAAGGACATTTTTTCAGCTCCTGTATCTCAAAATTTGTATTCATCCCTCTTCTTTTCCCTAACAAAATTTTAACATGATCAAATTCCATATAACATTCCTAATTTAAAAATCAAACTGTGAAATACTTTTTAAAAAATTAAGAAACATGTCTTTTTAAATGATATGGTAGCCTTTAAAATAATACATATTACTTTTATGGTACAAAGAGAGAGTAGTAAAACAGAATTACAGAAAAATAAAAAATAAAACCCCCAAACAATCTAATCATCTCAGCATCCTAAACACAACAATGTGGACAGCTGTATCCAGAAACTGCATATGAATACAATTATGTTGTAAGTTTAACAAGAAGTTGTATCACTATCCAGGAATCTAAACCATTTGAAACATTTGCTCTTACCAATCCAATGCTTATCAACTCAATTATTTTTTTTAAACGGGAAATTACCCTCTGTTAAAAATAAAAAACAGACAAACAAACAAGAAGAAGACCAGAAGGAAGGAAGTCAAGTGCCATAGAGCCTTAATCAATTGCAAATAAACTGCATTAATCTTCATAGAAGATAGAACCAAAATTTAAAAATATCAAAACAAAAAAAGATAATTCTGTAGCTCTAAGAACAACAATGCAATTAATGTTAAACAGAACATGCTAAATTCTGTCTAGCCCATGGATCAATTAGAAGTGTACTTTTAAAAACATATTTTAGGACACACAAGACATCATTTAAACTGTTCAGTTTGAAATAAATCAATAATAAGATGATGGTGGATAGTGTCATTTATCAAAAGTCTCAAAGCACATATTAACATCATAATGTAAACCAAATCTACTTCAGTTACAGAAGAACACTGAGATAATAATGTGTGTTGTCATATTCTTAAAATTCCAGGAACCTCAAATAAGTGTTTACTAGCATATTTGTGATATTAAATAGCAAAATAACTCCATCAATTTCATCCTCAGTCACTCCTTTCTTCCCACCTCAATTCAATTCTTACAAATTGATGGATTATCTGGAAGACAACTGTGAATATGAATATAACAGTAATCTTGATATTAAATAGAACATGAGCTTTTTAAAAAAACAAAATCCAGCATACAATCCAACTGATTTCATAGATGCAATTCTTATTTCTATGGAAATAATATAACTATAATCTCACTATATGAGAGTTATATGCAGCACCCTTCTATGATTTGAACCTGAAGTGTTTCAGCAACTGGAGGAAATGCAAAGAATTTTAGGAACACATGATTTTTCAGATTTCAATCTTTAGCAAAATATGGCTGGTAACACTGAGTCTCTAGGTAAACACCAGAATTTGCAGTTTGTTTAGTTGTGCAACAGGAAGTCATGAATGGATAATTTAAATAAACACCAAATTTCATAATTTAAAAGTAAATATTAAAGCAATTTCATGTAAAATATTGCTATTACAGTCTTAATAATATAAATTATGAATTATCTTCTCAAAATGTTCCCAGAAAAAGAGAAGGCTTGTTAAACACGTGAGTTGAGAATTCCAATGAATTCCTATTTTAGAAGAGAAAGTCAGATTTTCACATAGCCTCATATTTTCCTGATGAACTAAACGAATACCCATATAAGAAGCCTGAATAGTAAAACATAAAATACCCAAGGGACATATGATTTTAAAAAATAATACAACTCCAGAGTTTACTATAGCAGCATTCCTTATTGAAGTATCAATAAGCTGATGCTCCTTAAAATCTACACTGATTTTTCTATCACCAAGTATTCTGCTTACAAACTCTGCCATATCAGCCTTGGAAACAATGTATTTATCTTCTTAGGTCTTTAATATGTCTGTGATACATTTAGTAGACCACTTCAATTGAGTAAAGCGGGTACTCAGGACCCTCGACACAGAATGAAGTGCAAGTAAACATCAGTAACAATCAACACTGTTGAAAAAAATATTCAAGATGTTAACCTTTCAGTTGTTTCATAAAAATAAAGATTTACAATACACATTTTAAATGTAAGTCCACTGCATTTACATTACAACCCCAAATTAAAAATTATTCCAAGTAAACTGCTTAACAAAGCCCTAGTATGACTTATGTGATAACATATACTGATAACAAGTCATTTCACCTACTGAGAAATGGAATAGCACCTTGGGTCACATGAAGGAAACAGTGACTATTTTAACCCAGTATTTAAATCATCTAGCCCAGGTGGTTTAGGGAATTTAATTTCCATTATCAAAACACCCCCCCACCCCGGGAAAATAAAACACAGTGTGTATATGCTTAAAATAAGAAAATTTTACGTAACATGAACTGTTAACAAACCACTAAACTGTGTACTCTAAATATTTTTTATCAAATTTATATAAAACACAAGAAGACACTGAAAATAATTTAAAATAAAGAATACTAGTAAAGCCTTCTATGTGATCAAGTAGTTAATCAAGAGTATATTTGAAAAACAAGGTCAAGTAAGTCTTCTTTTCACACAATATACCATATTGCACTGAGGTTTCAAAATTCGTATTTTCTTTCTTTGTCCTTTGTAAAAAGCTATCTGCAGGGCTCAACCTGTTCTTTCAATAGACTATCTAAAATGCATTCGTTCACTCACTCAGCAGAAACACAGTTTATGCCATGAACACAGTCTATGCCATTATAACTTGGTGCTGGGGATAAAATTCTAAGAAACTTAAATTCTTAGGACTCAGCAAACTACATGTAATCAAAATCCTATTTGTTTACTAAAAGACGTATCAAAAGAAGTGGTTCTCAGATCGGAGGTTTTTGGACAATGAGCTCTCGTTAGCGGATACCTTGTTCGATACTGCCGCTTCGCACTGGCACTTGCGGGAGCTGCCTTCCCCGCCGGCTGCCGAAGGCCGCGTCCGCGGGAGGAGAGTGGCCTGGGCTGGCTTGTCGGTGCGTTCTGTGAGCAGAGACAAAGGGGGAAAATGAAACGATGAAATCCCAAGAGGGCCTCACAAAAATCTTTTCCTTCTTCCTGTTACTATTAATACAGATATAAAACACCTAACTAGGCCTTTGGAAAGAAAATAAATTACTTTTTATGATATGTGTAAAAAAAAATTACAAAAAGGGGCTAAAAGAGATAGGGCAGGGTCTGTCACACACAGTTCTGCATAATAAACTCCTGAACTGAGCAGAATTGGACTCATTTCTTTCCATTAACTTTCCATGAAGTTGTGGATTTCTGCTAGGTTATCAATTTTTGGTAGCACTGAACCAAATACATCTAATCCCAGCCTCTAAGTCTTCACAGCACGGGTAAATTAGTTAAGAAAGGCTGTTACCTACATTGCTACTATTAAATCCATATTTATGCCTACAATTATTTATACGTGATAAGAATAGTGATAGCTGCTGACTTTTTATAAATTATCATTTACTTGTACTTAATTTTTAAATAGGAAAAATCTTGAAAAATATTTAAAAAATAACCTTGGGCACATGCTATGAAGTATACTGGTGCAAGAATCGAAATTACAAATGAAAACGATAGAAGTGTGCAGATACGTTACTACTGGACGGGAGTAAGCTGACCTCCATCTGCTGGCATTGAAACATACTTTCTTTTTAACTAAAGATCTTTAAAACTAGTCTTTTACTGAGCACATGTAAAATGTTTTTTTCAAATTCTTATATTTTTTAAAGCAAATAGACATTGAATTCCACATACTTTCTTATAAAGAATTCCATATAATTAAAAATATATGTATCTATGTGAATATGCCACACACAGATGGAAGGACACCACACAGCCAGATTTACTGGTCAATGACAGCCACGTGGCGGGAGCTACAGCGTACCACCAGCACAGTGGAGAGAGATGCAAGTAGTAGAGGATGTGAGGGAGGTGTAAGTGTCACAAAGAAAGGATTAAAAGTCATGGTGTCATAATGAGTGAAAGCTTCGAGTGCTCAGGAAGGTACAACACCACACCAACGGCCGGAGGCGGGACACGAATGCTGGGCTGGACACTGAGTAGCGACCTGGTCAGAAGCGGAGAAGGTGGCGCCGACCCTCCGGGGCCGAGGCGGCGGGCGGGGCACAGTGTCCTGACACTAGAGTGCTCGCTCGACCTCGAGCGGGCGGGGTGCTTTCCCCTAAGGACTGGCTGATCAGTTGCTCTTGGGGCTGCGTATCCCCTTCTAGAAAGACATGGTGGGAGAACCCTAAAACATTAGGGTCAAAAAAGATCTCCAGTCAGCATCCGGTTCACATTAACTTTGATACCAACACATCTGTCCAAGGAAAACCTGGTTACTCTCACAAGACAGCGATTTTAAAAATCAGAAGGAAACCCATCACACAACGACTGAAACGCAATTCAATTCCAGCTGGCAAGTTGCTGCAAATGCGCACGCCTGCGAGGTTCCGAGGGCTAGCCTCGGTTCCTTCAAGGTGGTAATTCCTTATAAGTTCCGTAAGAGCAGAGACTTCTCTTTTTTTTTTTCTGAGCTGTATCTCTAGTGCCTTTTTTTTTTTTTAACAGCTGCACAGAGGGCAAAAGCTCATAAAGATCCTAATTAAATGAGTATGATTAGGGTCATGAACACAGGGACACTTCAAGCACTTGTCTTCAAGGAGAAATAATGCACTTAGAACTCTGTGTATATTTTGACAGTGTTCATGCATAATTTTACCCTGCAGTAATAAAATCTGTACCAAATAGCAAAAAGGAAGATGTCTTCTGAGGTTAATTTGAACAGTCCAACAAATTAAAACGACAAAATAAGATGGAGAGGCTTCATTATTGAACTGACTAAACGCAAAAGCCTGATGTATGGATATCATGTCCTTTCATATTTAAAAAATATCTAAAAAGATACTTGTCCAAATGCTAACAGTAACCTAAATATGGTACTCAAAATTATTATGAAGCCAATTTATGAATTAAGGATTAAAAATTAAAAACTGATGTTTATATATACAGTAGTCCCTCATTATCTGCAGTTTTGCTTTCCAGGGTTTCAGTTACCCAGTCAACTGTTGACCCAAAAATATTAAATGGAAAATTGCAGAAATAAATAATTTGTAAGTTTTAAACTGCATGCCCTCTGAGTAGCGCATGAGATCCCATGCTGTGCCCACTCCGTCCCACCCGGGACAAGAATCATCCCTTTGCCCAGCGTATCCACACTGAATATGTTACCAGCCTGTTAATCACTCAGTAGCCACCTCAGTTATCAAATCAGTTAGAGAGAGAGAGAGACAACACATTCACATAACTTTTACTACAGTATATTGTTTTTATTGTTCTATTTTATTATTTATCGTTAATTTCTTACTGTGTCTATAAATAAAGTTTACAAATTTAACTTTATCATAAGTACGTATGTATAGGTAAAAACATAGTATACATAGGGTTCCATACTACCTGCGGTTTCAGGTATCCACTGGGGGTCTTGGAAGGTATCCCTAGTGGCTAAGGGAGGACTACTGTACAGGGTGGGGAAATGGTAGCTTTACAGTTGTTCACATAGAAAATAATACAAAAAATTCATAAATAATAATACAAGAATAAACTCTGTGTCTCACATACTCACAACTGTAAACCTACGTTTGCCCCACCCTGTATATATGCTTCTTTAAAACAGACATGTGTTTTTGTCTTTTTTATCATTTTCAGTATGTATCTTAAATAAAATGCACATTTAAGATACCTGATATGAATTATTTTTCACAGTGACAGACGCAATGGAATAACATCTTATCTTTTTTAAAACAATGCTATAAAATTCAATTAATTTAAAGTGTGTGATAGAAAATACATATTGATCACAGGAAGCACGTTAATTATTGAGTGCTTTACTCAACTTGTTTCAGGTTGACAACTTTTTCAAGTAAAATGATTTTTTCACGGCTATAATTTTGATTCAGGGTATCTCCTTTATTTCAGAACAATAAAATGGGAAAATGTCAGGTTTTAGAAAATAAGAAGGTACAGCTTAGGTCTTTCATTTTATCTTCTTGAGATCTGGATTAACGCTTTATCAGACCCTAATGCAAATCCCCAAACCTGGACTGTCACCTCGATTTCCAAAGGAAAAGGAAAAGAAGTGACGGTACTCTACATATTAAAACTGTTCATTCATTCTGAAAGGACTCCTGACTTAACTCTACTGAATTTATTTATATGGGAAGGATTGTGTGATCAAATCCTTTCCAGTGATGAAGAATATGAGTTTTTTCTACTACTCTTTAAAAGCCATTATCATGAAAATAAATTCCAAGCACTCTTTGTTCAAAATACACTTTCTAAATGTAGTCTGAAAGTTGATTATTACAGTTTTCACCCTAGTACTGAGAAATTTCACAGATCCTGCAATTTCCCTAAAATCTTGCTTCATTCCTTAATGCAATTCATAAGCTCCAAAGTACTACTTAAATGTGGCTTGAAGGGTGAATAATTTAGATGTGGCACCAAACTAAATGGCAAAAATATGAAAAGCAATTTTGGGGTAAATGGATGATTTTCTCGGTGAGTGTTATACAGATCAAGGTGAGGTGACTTAATGTTCTCAACTCCGTCGCCACGGGCTTGCGGTGTCTGAAAACAGCTTGTACTGTTTCAGGTTAAAAAATTCACACCAGATCTATTTTTTATGTGACATGAACTAAAAGTCCCCTAGTAACAAAACAGTTCTTGCCACCAACCAAACTATAACAAATATGAAAGCATGGACCAAAGGGGAGGCACAGGAAGCCACTGTGCCTGAGGAAGAGAGAGGAGGGTGGCAGGAAGGCTGAATCACAGGCAGAGAAACTGAGGACAGAGAAAATGCAGAAGGTGAAGAGAGAAGAGCAAGGTTTGGAAGATGAGAGATGACGGCCCCAAGTCCAGTGCGTTTTAGACAAGGGGAAAAGGAGACTTAAGAAATTCTGAGGTACTGGAGTGAAATGTTGAGAGAATCCAGGGTGCAGAGCCTTGATCTTTTAAATGAAATGGTATGTGCTAAGAATGTAAGAATGAAAGAGATCAAGAACCACCATATTAGAGAATAGAACAGAGTGCATGGGGGATACAGAGAATAATAGTCACTACTGTTCTTCAATGAGCATCCAAATGAAGCCGTCGACACAAGCCAGGCGATAAGGGCATGTTTGTACATTTGTATGTATGTTTGCATGCCTTTGTTGTATGTTATGTGTGTGCATATATGCACACATACATCCATATGTATGCTCTTTGTTTGTATTCTCACAACATCTCTGAGAAGTGTTATTATCCCTATTTTATAGATGGAAAAACTGAGGATCACAGAGCAACTTACAAAAAGACAAGGAACCAACAGGTGGCAAAGGCAAGATCCATACAGGCCTACAGAGCTTCAACATTTCTCCCTTTTCTGCCTATTGAGGTAGAATGTATTTCTATATCATGAGATAAAAAAACAGTAATTTCACATCTCTGGATATATTGTTATCTTGTAAGACAAAATATAAATATATGTCCAAGTATCACATTTTTTAGCAAGATTTCATAGTATTGCCTTCTGAGAGTTTGTAGGAATAAAACATATGGGAAATGGCATTTAGGGAATAATTAATCTGCTACATATGTTTACATATATCTCATATTTTTAATACAAAAACAATTAACCTTCTAGAGAAAAATTCCAAACCTCAGTATGTCTCACTCTACTGCACCATCTGCAAATCCATATCTAGCATTGAGTTTAATTCATGCCTACTCTCTTCATCTAAGACTAGTGTTTAAGACATGAACTTAAGTAAAACACATTTTTCACCAAAACCTTAGGTTGTTAGTCACACATGTCTGTTGCTGTAAATGGACTTGGAATAAATTGCTTCTATTGCAATTTAACAATATAGCTGTGTGCTGTTTTTTTTAAATGACTGTTCAATAGCTTGTGCTACTTAAGGTCAAATCTTCAAAATGGTTCCTCCTGTAATGGCCATTTTAGGCCTACACAGGCTCTTTCCAGGAGCATCAGAACAAAAATGCATACTCAAGCAATTCTAAATATTAGTCCTGACAAAACATGCTCCAGGTAGCATAAAGAGTGTAGGTTCCACAAGAAGAAAAGTTACTAGCACAGAATGCAGAAGTGGTGCTTGTAGTTCACTGGGCGTAATTCAAATAAAGGAGAAAAGTCGGACTTTTAACTAAGGACTTTCCTCAAAGAATCTGAAGCACCGCTTTAAATAGCTAGGCACAAAAGTCAGGAATCCGTTTTGCCTGGGTTCTATCTGCAAATGATCACCAAATCTTTCAAGATATTTTCTTACAAGGCTGTTCCTCATAAGGCCAAATTTGTTTAGGCAACAAAGGACCTTCAAAATTATAATACTTACACAACAAATTTTGCCAGAAGCCAAGGCGTGACTGTGTGGTTTGTCTCCTTTGGGGAAGTTAACTCCCAAAGGCTAAAAATCTGCATCCAGAGCATTCATACTGTGACCTCAATTCATCAGTAGTTAAATGTCAACTCAAGGTATCTTCCAATGAAATGAGCACAAACACAAACTTAGAAAATCCAGACCAATACTTCTTTCGTAACTAGCTATTCAACAATTCACTTAAAAACTAGGTAATTTATACTCTAATAAAAATCAATAAAGAGCCCTAATTACAATCAAACAAATCTATACACCTAAAAGGTTCGTGTTTTCTTTATTAAAACCTACAAAGTAAGTAAAGGCAGGAGTAATATGAATATGGCCCTTAAGCAGCAAACAATTGAAACTGGAAGTCAATTAAATCCTTGCTATTCTCACTGAAGAGAGGATTTGTGTTTATCTAAAGATATTTTCAGTGTTGCAGAAAAAGGTGCCCAACTATCACTCAACTGGAGTTAAGCACCTTCAGTTGATCTAGAATCATCTAACATTTTGTAAGCAGTGTATTATTGTCAAAAAATCTTGTTCACTGATACATTCTAAATGCAAAATTAAATATGCATAAATGGAATAAAAAGATACATTGAGGAAGAATTTTCAATCACGTCAAAATAATTGAAATTTTGTGTGCATGAGAGAGCGAGGTTATGAATGATGGTTGAAGATTAAAACTTAAGAAACTTAAGTTGTTTGCAGTGCTAGTAAAGAGGCTGCGGTTAACTGAGTTGACAATAAACAATACACAAACAAACATAATCCCTATTGTTTTATCTACTATCTGTCTGTCTGTCTGTCTATCTGATCTATTTAAAATGCTAGAACTATGTGCTTCACTCCCTTGCTCAAAGTCCAGCTCTTTCGTGAAACTGAATTCCAACTCAACACTTTTTTGAGTTTCCCATAAGCTTTTTCCATTCTAAGTTAAGTTTGCTAAAGAGTCGCTATGCCCAAAGACCGTTAGCCAGGAATAAATTCCATCTCCTCTTCCCACATCCCCTGCTGTGACTAATACCTACTCATTTTTCTGACCCCAATTCACAGGTAATGTTCTCTGGGAAGCCTTCCTTTTTGACTGCTCACTATTTTACTCCATACTTAGCACATAGTTTAGCACAGGTCTGTTCACTGAGTCAATGCACTGTACAGATTCTATCTCGAGCAAAGCTATTGTGACAGCCTTACTGGTGTCTTGCATCTACCCTTGAAACTTTCAGTCTGCCTTCTAAAATGCTGTCAAAGTGATCTATAATTTTGCAACTGAAAACCAATCATGAACCTCCATGTTGAAAGCCCACCCATTAATGGATCATGGAATAAAGCAGAAAGTAAACATCTGTAGCACGACCCACAAGGGCATTTGTAACAACCTCTAAGGATTTCTCCAGCTTTATTTTCAGCCCTCTTCCCCATCTCCTGTACCCTATTCTCCCTCCCCACATGGGTGTGGTTTCCCCAAACTCAAGAGGATATTTCCAGCCTCAGTGTTTTCTCATATTGTTCCCTTCTCATGCAATACTCCACTCTTCACATCTGCTTTTATGTATCTGGATTTAGCACAAGTGACACTTGTTTATAAAATATTTCCTAACTCATCAGTGCTCCACTTTTTCCCGTGTTCTCACTGTATCTTGTGCACATCTCTGTAACTGTTTGACACTTGAATATACTCATTCACTTACATCTATGTCAGCCTTTATGCTTTCAATAATTGTTGAATCAATAAATACACATTAATAGGATTTTTGGTGTTACTTAAAACTATGTAAAAAATGTAAACAAATACCTTGCACCCAAATATTCAAAAAATTTGCAGAATTAGATGAATTACTACAAATGAAAGACCAGCAATCTTTATAATTTCTATGTTAACTCAGCAAATAACTTTGGTTGTAACATACAAGTAAAATTTTAAATTATCCATTTGTAGGAAATAAATTTTTAAAAAGATGGCATTATTTAGATATAAGGTACTCAAATAAAAAATATTTGCATATTTTAGGTACTGTATTCATTGTAAACATTTAAATAATCTCAGAAACAAAGTATGATTGTCTTAATATGTTCACAGAAATAGGTATAGATTTAATTTTCTTTAATAAACAGAATGATCGCTAAAATAAACACATGAGATTTTTCTTGAGCCCTAAGATTTAAGGGCTGCCTTCAAATCACTGTTGTTTATTGAATGACACTATTCCCACATAGATTTATTTACATGAATGTCTTTCAACATCATGATTCTGTGTTATGTAAAATCCAAGTGAAGGCACCCCTGAATATATCAGTAAAACAGAAGATGGCCGCACAGCACAACACCAAGCCTACCTTTCTGCATCAGAGGCAATGCCTTTCCTAGTCTGTTTTTGGATGCTAGATCTTTCAGACTTTCTGGAGTGCCTGTGGAATGAAGTGTTAAAGAAATACAAAATATATGATGAATAAAGCTACGGTAATATCATACAATGATAAAAGCAACAGACATGAAAAATGGCAACTATATTACCTAATGGTTTTGTCAGTCAGTACTTTTAAAAATAAAATCAAAATCAAAATCAGGACTGGTGCTGTGTGGAAGACACAAATTGGCCAACAGGAGACAACAAGCTGACATTCCACTGGTCTAGGTGGGCAAGTCAACAGTAATGATTTAACAGGGACTCCTGCTGAGCAACTGTGCCTTTCCTAATGAGTAAACAAATTCAACTTGGTGATGACAAATGTGATGATAGAAATGGTTTATTTGCTAAAAGACCACAAAGGGGTGAAGTGACTTCACTTTCAAAAGCTGAAACTTGGTGCTATAAAGGTTTTCCCTTTGTTTTTTTTCTACCACAAAATTATGAAGAGAAGAAAAATGCTATAGGGAAATGTTTTACATAAATAAGAGTATTTTAAATTAACTACTAAAATTATCATAAAGATGCCTTTGCAATCTTATAGCATTTAAAAAAGGCAATCATGTCACAAATCAAAGAACTAATAATGTTCCCAATTTGTGTCCCCAAAGTACATATGTACACGGAACATTTGGGACTTGAAATGCATTTTCCCATAGAAACAATGTTTATATATAAAGATTATCTCCCCAAGGCAGCTTACATATGCTTACTTAACCTAAAATGTGTCTGACTACAACATATTTGAAATAAATATAAAACATTGTGGTCAAGAAACTCATGTATAAAAAAAATATATAGAAACCATAAAACAAATGTGTATTTTTATCTCAATAATTTCTAAAATATATGCTTATTTTTCTTTCCCAATATCCCTTCTTTCCAACAATGTTAAAGAGGCAACTGTTTTCCTTTTTTAAAGATAAAATTGACATATAGTGCTATATTAGCTTAGGTGTACATCATAATGATTTGATATTATATATGGTAAAATGATCACCACAGTAAGTCTAGTCAACATCTATCACCACATATGCTTATAGTTTTATTTTTTTCCTGTAAAGAGAACTTTTAAGATCTATTCTCTTCTCTTTACTCTGTTTACTTATTAATACTAGATATCCTTAGTGTCCAAAATGTGCCATGTCAAGCCCTGTTAGGCACCAGGGACACATATCAAAGTACAAAGTCTGCCTTCACAGGGTGTAGACACTTCTGGGCCTGCTCATCTCTTTCAATTGGCATTTTATTGGTAGAAGACAAATAATCCACAACAAAAGCCCTCAAACAAGTAAACTATATAGTATGTTCGAAGATGATAAATGCTAACAACAAAAAGTAAACCAGAACAAGAAGGGTCAGAAATGTGTGTGGGGGGAGTGGTTGGGGGCAGCTGGAGATTACAATTTTAAATAGGGTGCTCAGGGAAGGACTCACTGAGTTGGTCACATTTTAACAAAAGACATAAGGGAAATAGTTAACCATATATATATATTCAGAGAAAACATGTTTCAGGCAAAGGTAACATCAAGTGCATAGGCCTGAAGTTAGTTGTGTGCCTGGTATGTTCAAGCAATAGTAAGGAGACGGGAAAGGAAAGTGTTAAAAGAGGAGAGTCAGATGACAAGAGTCTGGGGTGGGGGAGCTCGGGATTTAAAAAACCTGGTAGCCTTTGTACAAACTTTCTACCTTTGCCCAACAAAATGGTTATAGGCATCTTTTAGAACATGTCTGCTTTTCCTCCTACCCCATGTCATTTCTATGAATCTTTCTAGACTCAAGTGAGTCTACTTTCTCTGTAAACATGTAACTCTTCCCCTTCTCATCTCCTAAAACTTAATGATTCATATATTAGATTGATAATTACAGTAACTGATGATGCTGATGACAAAGACAACGATGACGATATAATATCTAACACTAAGAATTTGCTGAATGCTGGCATAATCACTGTATCTGCATCATCTCATCTAATCTCACCAATCCAGCCAGGCAGGTACCATTTTTTTTCATTCCTTTTTAATAGGAGATTGAGGTTGAGAGGTTAAATAATTTGCTCTAACTCACATAGTTATTACATGTCAAACCATGAAATGAACTGAGTCCATAATATTACCAGTTAACACACGGAATCTGTGGCATAAATGACCCTGGAACACAGTAGCTAAAATCTTGGATGCTGGGGTCAGACTGTCTCAGTTTAATCTCAGAGCTGGTTCTGTCTAGCTGGGTGATTTTCATCAAGTCACTTAGACTTATCTGTGCCTGTTTTTTACACCTGCAAAGTGGCAATAATAATACTGCTGCCTCACAGGTTCGCTAATTTTAAATATATCAATATTACTTGGTATTGGTATGGTAGTATTTGTAGTTTTGTAGTAAACATAGAACAAGGATTTGTAGTAGTTTTTGCACTGCTTAGAACAGCAAGAGGTAAGTGCTATAACAGTATTATTAAGTGAGAGTCCAGGCTTCGTAACTGGACTACAAATATTCATACAAAAGTTCACAGATCAAACTTTTTAATTGTTTTTGTTTTTAACCTTCTTGTTAAAAATGCTCTTTTTTTTTTTTTGTCTTCAAAAGCCATGTAACTTATTTTATTGAAGATTCTTCTAAAGATTTCTACAAAGGATATGTCTTTATAATTCTTCTAACTACTTGAAAGAATCCTCAAATTGAGCTAAAATGATATACACTCAATTGTAATAATTCAGTAAAAAGAATAGAGAAAAAAATAAAGAATTCTAATGTCTTTTCTACCCTGAGCCCTAAGTTATTGCTGTGAATATACTGTATGTTTTAAACACAGCTCTTTCTTGGAGTAAATAGAAGCTTGTGCTATGTAAGAGGAAAGGTTAGAACAACCAACCTATCTGCATGCGTTATAGCACTGAAACTATTAATCATGTATCATAAAATACATCAAGTGCAATAAACTACCTGCTACCTTAAACTAGTCCTTTTCAGTTCCTTGTGGTCAGGAACTGTGTCTGGTTATTAGTGTAACATCAATGTCCAGCACATAGTAGCTGTTCAACAACTATTTGTTGAGTGGATGGTTAAAAAAGTAGTATTTTGAGTATTATACTGGAATTTGAGAGTCTAAAAAATTACAATAAGTAAAAAAACTAGGGCTATAAAAGTCACTTTACATCAAATAAATTTAGAAATAAAACTTTGCTCTGTTTACTGAGCTTCAGTCTATTATGAAACACCATAAATAAGAAATGCCCTCTGGTTATTGCCTTATGCATAATGAAGTGTCATTATTGCTGGCCCAATGTATGTTTATCATGATGCAACAGGCAGCACAGAATCAATTTTAGTGTCTAATTCCAGTCTCAATTAGATTTCAGAGAGTCCATCTATAAGTACATAAGTTTACAGATGAGAAAACTAAGTCCTAGAAAATTTAAATGACTTATTCAAGGTAATCATTTGCTGAGGATACCACCATCACGTCCCCATGTCCTTAGGTTCTCTGCTCACTCTGCCATCTAGTGACTTTGAATTATTTAATGTTTATTGAAGGAATCCCTGGACAGAAGTGAGTGTTTCCATCATGTTTTCTTATTTTGGGTTTTAACATGCTTTTTGTTCTATTAACATTTTTTATCACTTTATTATTCATAAGCAATGTTTCTTTGGGTTAGTATTCAAGAATCAGAAATCTTGAGTTTTTTATTAACTTCACAACTTAATACTTGTATGATTTTAGCCTTATGCTTCTTAGTTCACAGGGCACAAATGAAATTCTTTAAAAGCTATAAAGTTACATTCAAATGTAAGGTAGAGCAATTATTATTTTGTCACTAAATCAAAGCAAGAGTAATAATCAGAAAAGTGAAGGTGTTCCTAATTAAATCTAAACTTTTTGAAGTCCCATTTTCAATTATTATTCTCTATTAATTTAAATGTGAAGATTCATAAAATATATAAATGAAAAAAAAGGTAATAGTGAAAACCTATTTTTGTGCTACTTTCCTTTCCTCTTCAATAACTAAGTTCAACTAGAGCAAGTCCCTGAAGACACTGGTAAATACAGCTTTTCTGAAGATATTACAACTCAATTAAAGTATAAAATTAATCCTAAAATCAGTATTATTTAAGACTGTTTTTATAATAAAATGAAAATATAATATGTCCTGCTTTGGGAAAAAGGAATAAGAATCTACTATATAATGTTTTAATTTAATTATAATTATCACTGTTATCATAAGACTGTATCAATATATATTCTGGCTGACTACCTTGATGGCTTAATGTGGAATACAAATCTCTATCATCTTGTTTACTCATAAGTTTGGGAATAAAATAACTAAATCTGAAGAGACTCTACCTAAATAAAAAATGCTCATATGTAGAGAAGATGGATACATGCAATTAAGGTGCATTTACTCCTTTGTATATTATTGATATTTCTGTATATGACTATAGCCATTAAACAGACTCCCTAACTCACTAACTATAGTACATATAGGTACACTTCATTCATTCAAATAAAGGACATTTTTAAAAGCACAGATAATACAGGAAATCATGAAGCACTCAGAAACGACTGAACTGAATTTATAAGTGTTTCTACATTATCTTGTCATCTATGTGGGTTCAGTTCTGGACTTTTGGGGTCAAAAAATCTTCTAGGCAAGTGGATACTACAAAGTGACAAGTGTGGGAAACTACACAAATTTGGTTATTTGCAAAAAAAAAAAAAAAAAAAAAGATTAGGCCTACTTTAGCAGAGCAAAACAGGAATTAATCTTAAACACAGTGGGTACTTTACTTGTTCCAATAATTTAAAGTCCTAAAGATCAGGTTTTTTTATCAAATATTTTCAGTATTTATTTAAGTCACCCACCAATAAATTGCATCCTTAAAAAAAACCTCGTGTACATTGATGTAAAATCATTCCCAATCAAAACACTGAAGTCAGCAACTTCAAGCTAATAAAGTGCTGAAACACATCTCAAAATGTACCAAATGAGATTATATTCTATATCCTCACATCCATTAGAATGATCAGTATAAAAAAATGTCAAAAGGGCATATTGCCTTTCTTGAAAAAGCGTTTACCAGAAATGGTTTAAAGTTGATTTAGATGATGTTAGCCTTTCACACATGTGAGTGAGTGATTCAACTGTGAGAAGTAATCAGAACCTTGATGTTTCAGGGGCACATTAAAATACATTTTTTTCTAACTTGCTACTCACAAATCCTAGTTAATGTGAAGCCACAAGTTGATCTAACTTTTATTCTGATTCATAAACAGTTATGTATACACAAGTTGATAGAAGTTATTATTTACATATTAAAATAACGCCACTTATAAAGATATACTTTGTTTTTGGAATGATGATTCTTAAAAGTTTCACCATTTTTTAAAGTGCTTTTTCACTTGTACAATGGGTAGATGTACTGTGTGTAGAATCATACACTTGTTACTATTTGGTAATATTTATGTTTACCAAATAACCAGCTATTCATGGTTATATCCATAATCATTATTAAAAGGATTATATTTGATATTGTGAAAGAAAGCCTCAACATTTTTAGTAATAAAGCTGCAAGAAAATTTTCCCTACACTTTTAAAGTCAGAAACATTTCCTGGGGTTATAAATTTATGTATTTTTCTTCATTATTATTTTAAATATCCTACAACTTTAAGAAAATATTCCTATATTTAAATAAAAATACATCTATGTTAGTTCAAAACAAATCTACGAACCACTTCAGACGACATCAAGACTGGTTACTGGTGAAATTAAATTATGGAGAAATGATACATTAAAAACTGTGTGTATGTGCACACATACAATGAGAAATAAGAGGTCAATTAAATGCTTTCCAATTTACTAGAAAATTCTCTTAAGCATAAGTTTACTTTTTTTTATTACTTGTTATTTTCCAAATTATCAATAATGCCCCTGATTAAGGACATCCAGAGGCTGATTATATAAATTGTCACTGATTTTAGAATATTTTCCTAGCTAACAGTACCTAGGGCAAAAGTCACCTTATCTTTACTTACTATCCCCAAATATGATGCCATGTTCACTTCATTTGCAAGTTGGCTGAAACTTTTGAATGAGTAAATAAAGTTGATAAGAGGTGAAATGCAAGTGTTAAGTTTTGCCAAGTGATTGACATAGTTACCTAAGAATTTAGCATCTGTTGATGTAGTAATTGCTCTCCTGTTTTTATGGCCACATGATTTCTATAATAAAAGCTTATTGCAAATAATTTCCTGTTCCCTACAGTAATAAATCATAGTATTAAGACATTTAAAGCATGTTTTTGGGTTGAACATATAACTTATTTACAAATAAGTCATAATAAAAAAGTAAAATATATATTCAGAATTACATATTAGTAAGAATCTCCTTTAAAACCTTATCTAAAAGGAGTATTTCTGATCTTATAATCTATCCTTAAAGTTATGTATGCAATCTCTGAAATCAAATAACATAATTCATATGTCTTTAAACGACAACTAATTTTCAATTAATTTTCATCTCGAGTATGTAAGAACTAAAAACTATTTTTGGATTTCTATTTTGCTCAAAAAAAAAAAAAGCCCAGATAAACTTTTATTTATGCACATTACAAAAACCATCATATTTAATTCCCTGTACTCAAACAGTGATTATTTAAGATGAAATCTATTGACTCACTTATTTTGGAATAAATCCAAAGGACTTCCAGAATTGCTTTTTATAAAATGAAATTATAAGCTCCTTGATGGCCAGGACCTTGGCTTTTCTAAACGATATTGTGACTTTTAGTCATTAGAATAGTGCACACAGTAGGGGCACAATAAGTATTTGTTAATGAATAAGTAGTAATGTGGATGTAAATTTTTATTTGATTTATACAATTATTTTATGTTCTTATTTGAAAATATTTTAGATTTATATAATATTTTTAGATTAAAGATTTCACTAATTTTTCTAGTCCTAGAAATTCTATCTTAGGATAGAAAACAGATAGCACCAGTAAAAATTACTTTTAAATCCAAAATATATACATACAAGCAATATTAAGAGGTAAATGTCTTAAAGATGAAAACATGATAAAAGATCCCCAAGTCTTCATAAAATAACAGTTTGTGATCTTTTCCAATATTTGTAAAATGACTTATTAATTTGTTCTGACAGTGTTTAGTGTTTCTTTCAAATTGAAATCCTGAAGATATCTTGACTATGGATGTAGAAAATAAATGATACTACTCTTAACTAAGGTTACAATTACTCTGCTCTATACACACATACTTTTTTTTTTAAAAAAAAGAACCTGTGTGCTTGCATGGCTAGTTGTTCTATTTCTGAGATACCATATATGCTAACTACTTAATAAATATCACCAATATGTTGACGGAATTTCTGCTTACACCAAAAGATAAGCATTCAAAACACCCAATAACCCTTTGTGACCAGCTGGGAAAAGATATTTATAGATAAGAACTATATTAAAATACAACAAGCACCATAAAACAGGAGAACTGAGTTCGCTACAACTGAGAAGGAAACCAAGCAATGAAATATCTATACTGTGGTCCTTTGGGTACATCACAGTGAAATGAATTCAAGGCAAGGAAACTACTTTTAAAAACCTATTTTGTGGACTGACTCTAGCCCTTGAGAGTATTTGGCTTAAAAACACAATTCATAAAATATATAAGAATGAGGCAGTCTATTCTAAATCAGGCATTTTTAAATAAATATACCCCAAAGCTTATATACTTCATTAACAACAAGCTTATGTATAACAAAACAAGACCATCAACTAACATAACGAAGAACAGGCTCTGGAAAGATTCGAACATATTTTAAAGCACCTGAGAATTTTTACTTATTTACACGGAAACAAAATAATAGTTAAATATGTTTTTAGAAATCCAAAACTCTAAAATAAATGCTCGTTCTTAAAACAGAACTCTTCCACTGAAATCACCTTTCTTGTGTTTAAACTCTGCCATTCGTTTCCGGGCATGCTACCCCCATTTCACTAATTCTGAGGTGCTTTATTAAAGGCGGGTACACCTATTGATGGAATCACAGCACATCTGGCTCTGGCTCCTGAAAGGAAGCATGTCACAACCAACATTTCTCTCGCATATCCTTCACTCGGTGGCCTACTAGCCTCTTGAAGCCACTTGTCTGTGAGGAGGAGTTGACTAGTACCTGTCATTCTCCGGAGATGCATGCTGGATTTGAATCCTGGGGCTAGGAGGTCGTCTCCTATCTAGGGAGGGGGACCATCTACCCCTGTTTGCCCAATGAACAAGACAGGAAAAAACAGGACATTTAGTAACTCCTAAAATAAAAGAATATATGGAACAATAGGACTGGAAAAGTACCCCAAAAAGGCAAAGTGTAGATTCTTTGCTCATAATTTATTCTTCGCTTTTACAAGCACTGGAAAAACAAATTGTACTATAATATTGTAAGAAAATACGATCTGAAAACTTTTAAGTGAATTAAAAAAACTATTTGTGAAGGTGTTTGAAATATATTGAATGTAATTCTGTTCTTCTAAAATGTACTTGTGTTTTTATACTTATCTATACACTTTAAGTTTAAAAAGATGCATCCTTAAGAATATGCCTTATGTTTGAATGAAATAGGTTTAATAAGCCACTGGTGCTTATTTGATACTAGGTCTTGAAATTACTGGATCAAGTGGCAAAGATGAGGTGCATAGATTTAATACAAAGTAGAAACAGTTTAAGTGGAAAAAATGAAAATGTTCTTTAGTGTATAAACAATGACATAAATAATTTGTGGGAATGCTAGCAGTTAAGTCTTAACAAGTTTTCTTGGAGAAAACTGCAGGACTAATTACTGAGATTTTAAAATCATGAGTAAAAACCACTGGTAAGTAAAAATGAGAAATATAGATAAGTGCCATGCTAAAATAGCATTACCTTTTTTAAAAAGTATAATCTTTACTTGCAAAAGTAGTTCTCAATTGGTTAATCAGTTGGGTTTTGTTTATTTTGGCATTTACAATAATACACTTTTTTGTGATTAGCAGTTAAATAAGTGTTTGAAACTTGGTTCATTTCCTTGTTAAACTATCTTGAGATTCTATCTGTGTATAACCACAAATTAGAAGCAACTAGTCAAAAACTTAGAAGTGGCAATAAGGGACTGAACAGGCCAGATTTGGAAAATTCACAAATCAGATATGAACATTCTGAACAGGGTAATTTCTCTGGATACTGGCTTCCTCATAAGCAACAAGGGAAAACTGAATGGTCTTTAAGGACTTGTCTAGCTGCAAGATTTTATAATTATCCAAAGTGGACCAGTCCTAATGTTTCAAAAAGAAATCCAGCTGTTTTTTTATACCATTATAACTTGGCTTATTGGATGTATTAGACAATTTGGAGAAAGCAGCAAAGTGCTGCCAGGATATCTGAGGTCAGCTGGTACTCAATTCTGAAAGGCCCTTGGAAGCCTGTGTCTAATCCATCAGCAGGAGGTAGACAAGCTCGGCATGATTCAAGCAGGACTCTGAGGAAGCTGTAGAGCAAATAAAGCTATTCAACAGCAGAATTTGGACAGAAGAAAAAACTGTGGGGCAAGTCCTCTTAAATGTGTTACATGTTTGTAAAATTAAAAACACTTTCCATTAATTTTAAATTATTTAAACAGTTGATTAATCCAATATGAATGTTTTATAATGTATCTCTTCACTTTACTGCTCCAAATACAATAAAGAAAAATATTTCTGAAATAAGTGAAATAAGTGAAAATAATTACAACTACAGTGCTTTCTACATTGCTATATTCAGTCGTGTTAAAACTTATGTTGTTATTTGAAAACACAAAAATAGATGTGTTTTTGTAAAGTAATGAGTACTATTAACTCAACAGGATTCTGAATAACCTTGCTTCCTGAGGCAAAATTCCAGTCCTTGTGTTGTTTTTAAACACAAAAGTAAAGAAAAAAATTACAGAAAAAATGCTACAATTATTGAACATGCAGTGCAAGCTGCAAAAGAGAAAGGTGTACACTTAGAAACAAGCACATGTGAATGCAAGCTATTAACAGGCAATTTTCGAAGAAATATTTAGCATAATACATGTACACCTGCACACTCAAAGTCCTTCTGAATATGCTGATAGGCAGTACCAATATAAGAAATCTCTTTGCTTTCCCCTCACATATTTGATATCATGGGAGTTGGATCAATTTATACCCAATTTTTCCCCCAAATAATAGGTATTACATACATTTTAATATCATACATTTGTGAGCTGCAAAGAGACTAGAATGTTTTATATATTTTTTAAATGTATGCAACTTCCTTATCTTTTCCTTCTATCACACCAAAGGACTAAAATAAAAACTTTGCCCCTGTAATTGAGCGACACACACAGCTTCAACTGTCATTTTTGTCTCAGACGCTCACATGGCAGGCGACACTACAGTTATGCATCCTGAGGCTGAACTAAACAGTCCCTTCCCGATTTCTCTTTCCAAACCAGCTTGCCTGTAAGTTACATCATATCAGGTATTCTAAATTCATTAATTCAGGAACATCTACTCCTTGGGAGTCCTTTTCATCTGGCTCAGAATAGGAAAGGAAAAGTTACCTTGAGGTCTGAGGGGCTGAATTAACAGGCTGTGCGCTCCTTGCATGAGGGAACTACAGGGTTGTGTTGTGTTTTGACGGGCACATCAATTATGCATAGTACAGAATAAGTAATAAATATTTGTAAAAATTTAAGTAGACAGTGAGATAAGACTGTAGGTTTTGTGGCAATACAGGTAAGAAATAATGAAAACCTTAACTAAGAAATAAATAATAGTGAAGGGACCCACTGATGAGCTATAAAAGAATTAGAACTGACAGGCCTCGGTAAGCAATTAAACGGTATTTGTCTTGTGGCTTTCCTCCCTAGCACTGATATACCTTAAAACAAATGTGTATGTGTTTAAGTGTGTAATTAATATACACACTTTCATATGTGCACATCTTTCAAGAGTGCATATCTATGGCAGAACATGACTAAGTAGTTCCATTATCTAAGAGAAATTATGTGGAAATATGAATCATTAGTTCCATAAATAGCACAAATAAAAATATTTGTGAACTATTATGATATTAGAAACCAAATTCAAACAAATGAAATAACTGATTATACAACATGTATTTTTATTTCCCATATATAATAATTTCCCATTATTCATTTTAGTCCTGGGGGGGAGTTAAGCGAGGTTTTAGAAAAGGTATGGTGATTTCATTTGCATTTTTGAAGAACAGGTAGAATTTTTAAGTGGATAACNAAGCGAGGTTTTAGAAAAGGTATGGTGATTTCATTTGCATTTTTGAAGAATAGGTAGAATTTTTAAGTGGATAACAAATGGGACATTTTCATTTTAATGGAAAGAAAACTGGGGAGACAAAAAGTAATAAAAACTTGAGCTTAGGAGAAAAATTAGTGACACTGAAACCAGAGATGGGCTGTAATGTGATTAAGGTGAGGTCTGGCTAAGGGATTCTCAAGAGACTTGATAGGGTTTACTGACTCACTGAACATGAAGGAGGGGCAGAAGTATTTCCAGGTTCTGTGGCTGGTTACATGCCAAGACCATCATATATGTGAGAAAAATTTAGAAAGTGTTAACATTTTGCCATAAAAGTGTGTAAGGGGGAAAATAAGGAATTTGACTTAAACTCTGACGTACACAGGGTCTGGCAACTATAAATTTAGGCCTGATACTCAGGGGAAAGGGCTGGCCTGGCCAGTTACGGTGGAGTGTCGTCTTTGTATGTACTGGAGTGGAAACCTTCGACAGAAATATAATTTCAGGGACAATGGCTAGGGCAAAAGTGAGAAACTGAGGACAGTGCTAAGAAAATACTTAACTTTATGAGACAGGAGAGGAAGAGATGCTTGCAAAAGCAGACTGTGTTGTAACAGGGGCATAAGAAAATCTGTAGAGGGTGCTTAAGAGAGGAGAGGTTCAAATGACAGGGTGGTTAATGTAAAACATTGCAAGATGCTGTCGGACAACTAAGGATCCAATGTAATCTAGAGAGGAGTTTCAGCACAGGGGCAGGTGGGAGGGAGCAGGAGTCGGACTGCAGGGTTACCTGGAGGTAAAAACCCGAGGTGTAAGTAATGACTGTCCTTTGTTGCGCGTCAGTAAAGCTACGATTTTTATGGAAAATCAAGGAAGAAAATAAAACCATCTGAGAGAAGAAACTATTCTCCAGTGGCTCTAGAAATCAGTGTCTCTGAATATTTAAGTGATAATTTGTTTTAAAAGCTGAGGAAGGTCAGTGTCAGACCTGTAACTTCCTCCCTCCTCGTCAGGGAGCAAGGGGGAGGGAACAACCTCCGACAGACAGACCCTGATAGAGACAAACGGAAAGAACAGGCCCAGGCCTCCCTGTAAACACGCAGGGATATTTGCTCGTGAAAAGACGGAGGAGTGTCCTTATTTATTAGACGTCTTTAGTAGGACGTAACTAGTCTTTCTAGATCTTTCATTGTAAATAAATTCATTATTTCTTGATTTATGGGTCATGACTGAATGGGGGTGGGGTAATCAGTAGTAATTGTGCTATTTGTGCAATAAACAAAATATAAACCGAAGGTGCACAAAGACTTAAATGGCTTCCTTTGCAAACGGCGCTTCAACATGCATTACTCAGACCGCATCTGCTAACCTGGGTCAGACCATCCTCAGAGGGAGAAAAGGTGCATGTGATGGCTTTCTACTCTGTCAGAAAAAGTGTGCCAACTGTGCTCGGTGCTCCTTCACTGAAATCCTTAGCGAAGTATGATGATGGGTTTTAAGTCCGATTTGACAATTTCATCATTGACATTAAACTTCATTTGTTTTAAAAGTTAGTGAAGACACTTCGGAAAGGGCATTGAGTTGGTATAACAGCATATAAATATTCATCAAAATGGCTTAAAATCAGCACATTGTTTAAACTTAATAGCTCACAAGGCTGTGGAAATATGTTATTAAGAATATGAGATTAGGTTTTAAACATATTTTCTCTAACATTTTATCTGCTATGTGTTTATTAGGCATTGACATAAGCAGCTCTCAGTTCGATCAGAGAAATTAGGTAACCTGGAAAAACCCTCTAAGCTCCCCTCTGCATACTCTCTGCACATCCTGTCTGGGGGGTTTTAGGTGCATTTTCCAAAGAGAAAAAGGTCACCACTGTTGATACTATTATGTTCTGCTTCAGAGCTGCTTATAGCTGTGTGCACAAAAGGGTATTTGAGGACCTTATCCACCAAGCCAATAAGCATCTACAACTTCTGTAATTTTCTTGATGAAAACTTATCTCACTTTATATCCTTTTTGGCATCAAAGTGACACCAAAAAATTAAAAATCATTGATAATACCAATTCCTGCCCCTTTCACTTTTTAATAAAACATTTCTTTTTAGTCAATGTATGGAATGAATATAGGTTTTCAATCACATTTTTCTTTTTCTATCAAATGTAAGTATAGTCACTTAGGCTTCATGATGGCCTGACCTATATGTTAACTGGGGCCAGGTTATTTTTCTACAGGTTGGCTGTTTTGAGGGTATTATCTGAGATTAAATTTACCAACCCATGGATTTGTGAACTCTGTGGCTTCAGTGTCACGAGGGAACAAATGCTAGGTAGTCTTCAGCATGCTAACGCACTTGTGCTGTCCAAAACAGCAAGCCACAAGCCACATGTGGCTATTGAAAAAAAAAAGAATGCAAAATATCTCACTAATAGTTGTTAATTGATTACATGTTAAAATGATAATATTTCAGACCTATGGGTTAAGTATTAGATTAATTTAATTTTAATTAATCTCAATAGGACAATTAGAAAATTTTAAATTGCACATGTGGCTTGCATTTTGTTTTTATTAGATAGCACTGATATAGATGGTATTAAAAATGTTAGAGTGGCCCTGCCAGCATGGCTCAGTGGTTGAGCATTGACCTATGATACAGGAGATTGAGGTTCGATTCCCAGTCAGGGTACATGCCTGGGATGTAGGCTCCATCCCCAGTAGGGGGCATGGAGGAGGCAGCAGATCAATAACTCTCATCATTGATGTTTCTATCTCTCTCTTGCCCTCTCCTTTCCTTTCTCGGAAATCAATAAAGATATATTTTTTTAAAATGTTGGAGTGGTGTTATAGTCAGAAGAGTCCACTGACTTAAGTTATTATACCGTTGTTTTAGTACTAACCAGAAATATAAGGCAATAATAACTGATTTTTTTTTTTCTTGCTACTACTGTATTTATTTTTGGAGCTAACCTGTAACAAAAGAAAATAGAACAATTTCTATTGTGATTTTAGAAGAGCCAGTGTATAGTTACTTCAACTAAAATTCTATTACATATGTAAAAAATTACAAAATATAGTTAGATTGTATTTTTTCTATTACAAATTTTACAAGTATAAACGAATACAAAGTAAAGTGATTTTTTAGTGGAATCTGACTAAGACACTAAAAATGGGTAGGTGTACTTGCACCTATTAGTCCACTGTATAAACATTTTGTAAATAAATGAATAGAATCAGACCAGAAACATTGCTAAAGAAAAGCTTTAAGCAGCCTCTGAAGAAGTGGGTTACAGCAACATGACTAAATATTTTTCTTTACTTGGTACACTTAGTATGCAAATTCCCACTGGAGTACTTCTAATTGAAAAGAGGTAACAATCATAACCAAGAGTATCAGTTATAACCAAGTTTACTGGAACACAAAGTTCCATCATAATGGAAGAATTAGCTGCTCACAATTAGAACACAGTGTAAAGATCACTGAAAATATTTAATTTAAAATTATAATTATTTACTAATCAATTAAATATTTTAAGGAAAATTATATGTGTGTACATATGCATACATATATTTTTATTTATTATTTTTTATGCATTTTTTTTAAGATATCAGGAAATCTATGGCAAACATACAATTTTTTTTGTTGTTAAAATATCATTCAATGTAAAACTTCTATATCAAAGAGTAGTTTGGCTAAAAAGTGAATATAAATTCACAAGGGAAGTAGTCTACCTAAGTAGAATTCTTGTTTTTGGTTTATGGAAGATTGTTGTTAAACCTATAAATACTGTTTATCAGTGGGACTAACAGAAAAACGATCCTCCCCTTCAGATAACTCACTGGACCATAAAACATTATCAGCATACTGAAGGCTCCTTAGTATATAAACAAAACAACTAAACAGCAACAGAAGGGGAAAAGCAGCAGCCAGAAGCAACTACAAATTACATCACACCACTTGCAACAACATTCATGGAAATATGTGTATACGGGCCCTTAGGCTGATCCACATACACATATCTCTCCATAGACGTGTATCATAAGGCGAAGATGTGACAATTAGCAAAGTGAACATGAATGAATAAACCTGTGAGACTCACATGAAACAAAACCAAGTGATTGAAAAAAAAATCACTAGTACAAATGATAGAAAATTAAGAAAGTCTTCATTTTATACCTTTCTCGTTCTGGTGAATGCAAACTAGTATCTGGTCTCAAGCAGTTGGTACTAGCACTCCTAGCCCTGTCAAGGGAGGGCTGCAGTTCACTAGTGCCAGTGCATTGCATCCAGTGGTAGAAGAGAAAGACAAAGAAAACAAAGAAAGGAAGACCGTGTTAGAGAGTAAAGCATAAAATAATGTCCCCTTTACATAAAATGTAGAATCACCGTGATTCAGTTCATAAGGATGTGAAAGCTGACAGGATGACAAGTGCAAAATTTTGTTTAGAAAATGAAACTAAACAAAGATTATGCTTGAATTGCTTTGCATAATTTTTTTTTAAAAAAAGGCTTTCAGACTGAAAAATGAAACTAAATCACACCTGCTTATGGAAAAAAAAACGGTACAGAAAGCACTGAAACAAAATGCCTAAAACTTCATTACCAAGAACAGATGCCACACCAAAACAAAATGAAGGACATTGGAGGAGAAAAATTTACAACTCAACTCTTTTGGTTCACAACATGAGACAAGGGAAGTGGAAGGTAAGACTTCCACGTGTTCTTACCTAACCAATATCTCATCAATAAGTCTCGATACTTTTGAGTTAAAGCAGTTATGATGAAGGGGAAAGTCCTGTCTAGTCACTGATTTGGTTTCAGTATGCGCAGGCAGAACTGAGCTTTGCAAATTAAAATCACCCAAAAATAAAATAATATGAAATTAATTATCATAATTAAAATCAACAGGTAAAACAAGAAATAAATGACAAAGACGACAGCTAGAATTCTGACATTTGAGTAAGATTTCATGTAGAGAAATCTTCTAGAATTCAGGTTTTATCATTGGAACTATTTTTAGATACCATTAATTGAATGTTTCTCTGTGTATAGTTAATTTCAAGGGAAATGCTAATGCTTTATTAGAATGTAAATTTGATATTTTTAATAGGCAAAGGATTAGGGATTAGTTTGTAAATGGAACTCACTGTTATGACTCTTACCTGTAAATATTCCAGTGAGAACCGTTCTCTAACAAAGGCATCTTGGGAGGTAATGTTTTATAGTGACTAACAAGATGTCTGGAACATGGCCACACAAACACTCAGGAAATAGAAAAATATATATGAAGCAAATTTTACTAGAATATGAAAAAGTGGGAGACCTATAAAGCTACAAACATTGATGGTTCTTTTGTTTTATTTCTCAAAATAACCACAGTAATTATTTGAAGGTAGGATTAGAATTATTAAAATATGGAATCATAGACATCTGTCTTCATAATTAAGATAAATTACTCAAAATTACAATTTAATTGCTTTAATTTGAAAAGTATCTGCTAACCACACTATATGAATTACCAATATTTAAATTTACTATGTAATTCCTGATTTAATATTATACCTGCTTTCATGGGAAGTAAACAACTTGTAGTTCAAAGTACTAGTACAAATTTATGTCATTTGGAAATTAAAATATGAATAGGAGTTAATACTCTAATAAGTCAATAGCTGACCAGCATTACAGGGATGAGGCTGATCCTGGCACTCAACTGGGTAAAGAAAGAAAATAGCAAAAGATTAAGGAGTGATTCTAGTGAAGCAAGTTTTTTCATTTATAATCTTCTAGATCCAAATCCAACCATAAGTATAATCTATCATTGGAACTTGGGTGAGATGGCATTAGATGCAAACCAAAATAGGAATTCTGATGTGGGAGATAACGGCCACAACAAAGCCAAACTTTATCTGAATTCCTTTAAAATCAGTGAGGGTTTCTGAACTATCTATACCACCAAGAACAAACTAGGTCCAGTTAATCAATTACTTTTTTGATAATTTAATAATTTCTATAAACTGCTCACTGCGAAATTCCACTGTCCATTTTGGCCTACATTATAGCATGACAAATAGAGAAGGGAATAGCATTTGCTGAGGACATACTAAACATCAAACACCCTACTGGTTTACTCATGTTTATGCTAATGGTGGAATCCAAGGAAAACTCTCAAAGCTGAAGTTTAAAAATGTATTAGATTACCATATTCAAGCACAGACTGGTGACAAATCTTTCTGAAAGTAAGGATTTTGTATGCTTTACAGACAACAGTCTTCAACTCCTAACCTTAGGCAGCTATCTTTAGTAACAGGTTGCTGTATAACTTTTCTAAGCAATTGATTCAAAAGTGATTTTTTTTTTCAGGAACACTGCAACAGGGATCAGCATAGAATGGGACTATGAATGGAAAATAGCATTCAATTTACAGTATGAAGGCCTAAGTTCCCGCCATGGCTTTGCCACTTATTGGCTGTTAACCTGGGTAATTGAGGTCAAGTGGTTAAGCCTTTTTCTACCGGATGCTGTGAGAATTAAAGGAGATACCAGGTGTAAAGTATCTAGGGCACAGTCAGGCAGCCACAATATTTTCTGTACAGCACTACTTTCTTAGGACATATTTTATGAAAAAGAGAGTTTGATGGTTAAACAATGTAAGAAAAAATGGCTTAAAGCATACGAGATTTCTTTAGTACGTGACTTCAATATGCTGTGCGTATTAAATCTCCAGGGAAGGGCTTTAATTAGCAATGTTTCCACAATCGCTTTGACTCACAGACTTTTACTGGTGGAACATCACGCAGGAACAACTCCTCAGAACATATTTTTTGAAAAACTAGTTTAGTGGAAAAAATCAAATAAACCTGATTTTTGATTCTCGCTCTGTTCCTTATCAAATTAAACTTTATCATCATTCCTTATCTGTAAAATGAGAATAATAAGAATAATATTAACATATAGTTATTGTCAGGAAATTGAGATAAAGTAAACTAAATACTTAGCACTGTGCTGAGTACTCAATAAAAGTTATTTTCCTTGTATTCTGGGAAAGACTAAATCCTCAAACTTTATTCTGAAAATTCATAAGTGAATATGATATAATGTATTTTGAAGATAAGATTATACAAAATGATGAAACTACTGGTATATCATATTGTATAAATCCTGATATTTCATCTTTAGAAGTAGAAAACAAGAAAACTAAGACATCATATTTAGTTATTCTGTGTAGACTATTGGTGTGAACATGTTAGAAACGCCCACATATTGGGTGCCAGGCCACACTAGATGCTTAATAAATATAAAGTTTTTAGTTTTGTTTTTGTTTTTTTTACAGTTACTCAGATCAACAGGACTATGAGAAAACTTTCTGAATTTCTAAACAAATCATTCCTAATAACAAACTATTGATCAGGAAGAACCACTAACAGTAAGCCTGGGCAGTTGAGCATTATAAAGAATGAGCTAATTTTTTACAATATTTATGATTTTATATATTTTCCCTTATTCCACAAACAGAACTAATATTTCCTCATTTTTTCCTGTGGTACTACAAGCAAACATGGCAGTAGTTGTCAATGGGATTATTTTACACATATAAAATGTTAAAACAACTCTTATAAGCAAAATCATGTTTGCATTACTAAGCAGAACCATGTGTTCTATGTAGACACAGTAAATTCTGTATCTGTTCTTGCATTGCAGGGATTACAGTTAGAGCTCTTTCCTACTCACTTTTTATTGCCCATAATATTTAGAAGAGTTTGTCTCTGTGTTAGCTATTTCACTTCCTTATCTTCTGTTAACTCCCAATGGACAACAAATATTTACAGGCTGAGTTCTATGAGTAGTCTGTAAGAGGATTTATTTTGGATGTGAAATCCAAGATGTGATGACATGAAAATATGGTATCAGGTTCTAAGCTCCAATTTAGCGGAGAATATCACATCCCTTTTCCTTCTCACCTTTGAAAAGACATCATATTATTCCATAACTTTATGAAAAAGTTTGCACTGCAGCACTTCTGAACTGGTGTGATGAAGGAAGGGAAGGTTTATAGGTTAGCAAGTCAGATATCCTCTTTTTTTTTTTTTATCATGAAGGAAGTTGAAGCTCAGTAATTAAAACCGGGTAAGCAATCAACAGAATCAATTTTTCTGAAAGCATATCAATCACAAAAATAGAAAATGACTAACACACACACACACACACACAAAAATGAACTGATAAAGATTTTATTAAAGGCAAACAAAATATAAACAACAGTGGATTCCAAAAGGAAACTTAAAAAAGGCTAAAAGAAAAGGCAAACTTATAATTATAAAAACAAGGACACTGCCATGCACAGCAGATCAGACCCCTTGTGACTAGACAGGTGTATGTGCTGGGCGGGGCTGCTCACAGGGAGCACCTAGAACTTTAACTGCAGAAGCTGGGTCCTCAGGTTTAGAGGCCCGCCAGCCTCTGCATTTTTTGGTAGACACCTAGAAGAGTCGTCTGCCTGGATCAGAATTAAAATATATTTGGAAGCTTTTCCACAAAAGCTCCATATAAAACGAAACACATTTTGAATGCTTGGGAAGGTAATTTGACTTCTTTGTGATGACAGCACTCGGGGAGAGACGGAGGAGCAGCAGAATGGAGCGCACCACACACAGGCACCGAGAGCGACCCCTGTATTTACCTGGTCGTATGTAGGCACTCTGCACTTCGTCCTCGTTTTGCTCTGGGCAGCATGAGAAGCTCACTGCACGGACAGGATGGGGGTGAGTGAAACAGATAAATCATGAGGCATTAAATGACGCGGGGTGTGCCAATGGTATGCCGGTGAAGACATGAAAAGGGAAGAAACCAGATTGTCTGCACTAGCATACTTGCTTGAGAAGTTAAACAAAAAACATGACAGCATTTTAAAAAATTTAAACAATAAAGTACAAACATTATGATCAAAGTCCGAGCTGTTGCTGATTGGCAACTGCATTTTAAAGGGATTGCACAGAATATTGAAACAAAAGAAAACCAAGCCTTCTCAAAATAAGATGTAGAAATCGATTTCCAATTCTAGACACCTGGGTTATTTTAATAACTTTTGAAAGGCCTATAAAACCTGGCGTTTCCGATACTAATGGGAACCCTAAAATTTTACTACTTATTTTAAGAAACTTAAATTATGATAGTTTTCTTGGCTTTTACAGCCACTGAAAATACAGTATCACATATTATGTTTCTCTAGCAACCCAAGAGTATATTTGACTAAGATTATTTTAGTCTAAAATTGATACTTTTTATACATTCAAATTAATTCCACTCTCTTGAATGCCCTGGTCAAGAAGTCCATTTTCTTCCTCCTCACCTAAATTCATGGTGACTCCAGTGAACGTTGACAAAGTGGCCCTCATTCAACTCAACTCAACTCAACTCAACTCAACTCAACTCAACTCAACTCAGGCTGAGCAGGGTGGAATACTATTCCTCAGAGCAGTTCCTGTCTTTGTACCCAATATAACTTCTCCCTCTGAAGGTCATCACGCCCCTTCCCACCATAGGATGACAATTAGGAAGGTAAGAAGCTTTATTTGACTTCTGTATCTTTAATGACATGGCAAAAAATCAATCATTTAGCACCGCTATCATTCTCCTACTCCTCCCTGAAAGTTTCTTTACTTCAAACAGAGAAGAGAACATTCAATACGGAGGGTATTATGAAGTCTTAAATCATATCCTGAGCTTGTGGTCAGGCATATTATTGCAGATATGTGGTTAATTTGAAAAGAAAGTCTGTGGGCATGCAAAATAACAGAGTCACAATGTAGATTTTTAGTAATTGTGTCCAGGGAGTATTTTTTCATAAGAAAAAATCCATCTCAATATTTTCTACTTTATAGACATTTTATGGAAATATATTTTATAAAAAGTAGGTATATAAAAATCTTGTTATTGATGTTCTCACAGAAACTCTGCAATGTTGTCTGTCTTTCAGATGATCTGCATCCAAAATCTTTAATAACATAAAATACATAATTTCATAATTACATAAATAACAATCCAAATACTACAATCGAAAAAATATAAAATATTTGAAAACTGCTTATGTATGTAGGCTCACTTCTATAATATAGACTAAATCAATAGTAATCTGTACATTTGAAACTAGCTAAACATACGTTTGGATTTTTTTTTAAATAGTCTATATTATGACAGTGTAATATTGTCCAAGTTGTTCCATAAGAGAAGTTCAGCTTTGAGTGATAAATTACTTTTACTCTCTAATGTGTTATGCCAAGATATCTATCATACATTAAAACAGGTCAAAGAATGTGTAATGTTGAGATCATAATTTAAACAAATACCTGTCTTGTTCAGATAAATACTGACTATCCACATCTCTGGATCTGTGATCAACTGGACTTCTAGAGGCATCATGGTGTCTGGTTGGAGAACGTGACCTTCTTGTTGGATGAATTTCATCTAAACTCCTGAAATGATTACAAAAAAATCCATATGCATCAAAGAGGATCATCTTCTTAAATCAGGCAGGCAGACTTATAGGGAAGAATTAACAGTAACTGGCAAACAACTGATGCAGCTAGAAAAGTATTGGCATCATAATCAAATAACTACTTTATCAATGGCTTTTAAAGGTATTTCTTCTCAATGAATGCTCTGGCTGGCTGCACTTTTCTAACCTTCAAGGACCAGTTTTTATCTGCTTATTGAATTAAAATTTTAGTCAGGGTCAGAGGAAATAGAGTGCTACATTACTTATATTTTATACACTTTTCCAAGCATTTAAAGTTACTTCACAGAGACAATCCTGAATTTCTAAAGAATATGTCCCATGGCTTAATCTCATTTTCTTTGCCACTTTTCTCCACAGGCCTGATTCATTACCATACAATTTCTCATAACAGGAGAGAAAAATAGCAAACAGAATACAACAGTTATTCAAAAACAGGGCTTGGGACATAAACTTCTTTCACTCCTTGGGAAATTTCTTGAGATTAATGAACAGAATGTTGCACAGAACAGAATGTTGAGATTAAAGAACAGAACATTGGGTCATGAATAAAAAGGCATTTTGCCTACAAATGATTCTGAAAAAAATAACTTGATTGCCCAAACCATGATTTCATTTCAGACAGAAGCCTGTGGTAGTGTTATAATAAAAAAGTACTGCCCGGAACACTGAGCCCGTTTCCAAGCCTACCTCTGTAATGGCACATTTGGTAAACGTGAGCGCGGCCTTCCCTGATCATCGCCGCGGTGAGGAGACACTGAGCGTGAGCGGTGATGAGTTGTTCTTTGCTGTTCTGGCACAGTTAATGTTGTAGATTTACTTTCTCTAGCACTAGACCTATAACCTACTGGTAAGAGTACACACAAAAAAATCAGTCAGTATTCTATAATGTAAACGTTAATGTGGATATAGCAAATTATATCTAAAACAGCCCCTGACCTATGAAGATACATGACATGCAATCAGTATTATTAGCTTTATCTTCAAAACTATCAAGTGTACATACACAAAGTGTAACATATACATGCATAAGAACAGGTTACAGTTTGGCTCAAAGGTTCCATGAAGATACTGAGTACAAACAGGACAGTTGATGCCTCAGATATTATAATGAGTTGGGATACTATTTTAGTTTAAAGAATGAATGAATGAGTGACTTTACAACAACACAAATCAAGCACTTGACAGTGAACTATAGTTAATTTACAAGTCAATGCTTAGAAATTTAGTGTCTCTTTAAATGTTATCTGAATTTTCTTCCAAAGAATAAATTATTGTAGTTGAATTTCAGATGGCTTTCCTAATAAGAAAATGAAAATGTCACTCTGATTTTAATTAACAAAGAAGAGTAGCAGATCTTCACTATCACAAATACTGATCGTTAATTCTGCAAACCACAGACAAAACTGCAAATTTCAAATGAAAATAGTGTATTGGTGGAGATGACTATGACAATAACTCAGAGCGAATTAACTTTCCCAAAGAAACAATCATCAAATTTACCCCAGACTTCTCAAATTATCCCACAAATGTGTTAGTAGTAACATTAATCAATACAGTTAACATAATATCAATTAAAAATAAACTTTAAAAGTCATTTTCTGTTTATACTATCTCTGATTTTAAGATAAAACAGTAATCTGAAATCCATAGTTCCAGTTTAATTGAATTTTTTAACAGGGTTATTGTTTCCTATTATTAAAAGTAAAGTAAAATATTCTCTTGCCAAAGAAAAATAATTATATTTACAACTACATAAAATGTCCATGAACCATGAAAACACTAAATTTAATTGGGCAGCCTGAACTGTTGTTCATTTATTTATTGATAAGTTCCACATTATTTTTAAAATATGCCATGAAACATCCTTATTAAAGACAAGCTAAAAATCTTCAACAGTTTATTTTTTGTGGTTGTATCATCTTTTAAACTAAGCTTAACTGAGAAGCAAGGTCTTTAAACATTTCATAAAGTGCAATTTGACAATACTGAGACCTTAGAAGCTCAACCATGCTGTCACTCTCTAAAAATATAAAAACCAAATAATATAACCATAAATGCTATAATTTCATATATTTTCATTTTAAAATAAAAATAATAGCTATTATTTTCAGTTTCATGCATAAAAGTTTCTTTGTTGTTGTTCAGATGTATAAATTGTAATATTAAGTCTAGAAAAGAGACCAACTAAATTTATAGCTAATGAATTTATTTTGCAGCTTACTATAAAAAATAATGACTATTTCTAAAGATATTTAATCCAAAGTCTAAATTACTTAAACATTTTAAATTAACATTTGGTATATTTTGATAACATTTGGTATTAATTATACAATAATTATAGAAGGTCAATGTTGAGTTGAGAGCACCATTTCAAAAGTTCAATGAATGTTCAAGGTATATAAGTAGAATTTTCCAATTTGGTATAGTTATTATCAAATAACTCAGAGAATTTAGATGTCTTGCTGTTGTTAAAAGGGTATAATTCATTTTTGTCGGGTTCTTTGCATTATATAGAAATTAATGTCTTTTTTAATCCTACCTTAATATACATACATAGTTCTTTGTCTGCTTTTTACAAAATAATTTGGTTTTCTTCATGTTATGTTTAATTTATTGTTGACATGTACTCTATCTTCAGAAAAAGGTGGGAGAGAACTGCTATTTTATGCATATTTCATAAAATATGAAATTGGCTGAAAGTTAGAGGCTTTTTCCACTTTCTGAATTTGCATAATGCTCTGAAAAGTTGAGATGGCTAGATGTCTTGTCTCAGGTGAGGGCACTATGTTATGGTTATTTTTCTTTTTCTTAAGCAGCTAAAATTGTTTATTTTAAATAACAATAAGGCTATGATAACTATAAAGTTAATAAGATGTAGTTCTGTAGGCCTCAACTGCTTTCAGAACCTTAGATTTGATTAGAGAAAGGAAGCAAAGCATCAAACAAGAGCACTGAACCCTGGTTCTAAGAAAAACCAAGGTAGTAGACAGTTTAAGGGAAGGTCGAGATAGAACTTTTAACTGAAGCTTCAGAACTTCCATAGAACATATACAACCAGGAACTTGCCTAAATGCATTTTTTAAAACATATGTAGAATTGGTATTTACATCTAAACAGATTTCTCTTTATAAAGGATGCTAGGAAATGTATTGGTAATCAACCTCTAAAAGTATACGAGAATGTGTCAACGTGCTTGTTCATTAACTTATCCCTTGACTTTATTTTAGCTTCTTGCCCTTATTTTACCAACGCTCATCTTTCCGCTTATTTAAAATGTACATTTAACACTGAGTGGCTTGCTATATTATATTAGCCACACATCTTTAGAAGGTACCATATGCTCACTTTGGATCAATAAAGAATATACCTGAAAATACAAATAAATTACATCATCTCCTTTATTAATATATAAAGAGACCTCTGGGTCATAAAATATTAATTATTGTTTATGTAATTTATTAGTTATATTTTATTAAAAGTTTGTCTCATTACATTTTAAATGCTAAATAAAAATGAATATTTAAAATGATAATTTAGACCCTGCTTCTATATTATAAAAGAAGTTATGTAGTTTGCAAACACCATGACATAGTATATCTCAGTATGGAATATAAATACATTTAGAATCCAGTGTTCTTTTGTGGTATCTAAGCACTATTCCATCTTTAGTGGGTGCCGTAACTCCCATTTTGGCTGCTGTCCACAGAATCTTCCAGGGAAAGAAGAAGAAACTCACCACCTTAGTATTTATTGAATTGGCCTTTTATTAATTCATTCATTCACTATCCTGCCTCAGCATAAAACATGAAATTTTAAGTGAATACATGTTAGAACCACCCACAGAAATAAATTCTATTTAGGTGAATTGGTAACAACATTAAAGCTGATTAATAGTCAATATTTTTGTTAGAAAGGTTTGATGACTTCCTACAAGTAATCACCTGATTCTTACTTAAATGTGCCAATGGACTTGACATATAATCACTTTTCTCTTTTCAATTTCATTAAAAAAGCACAAACAACAGTCTGTTAAACTTTGTGTTAAAGTTTCTGTGGGGAATGTGCCTAATTATTATGATATTTTTAGAAATAAACAAACACAAAGAAAAAAGAAAATAAAATACTAAGTGTTATATCCACTATTATCCAAGATTATTTAACACTCTCACTGATGGTCTGATATCCAAGAGTAACATCTAAGTATGCAGATATGTGCACCACCAGCTTTATTGTTCTTAGAAATGTTTTCACTTTAATACAGTGATTAAATACTATGTTCTCTCTGAATTATGGAAGCAAATGAAACCTAATTCTAGAGAACTCTATAATTCTCTCCTAGTTTTAATGAAGTTGTATGCATTTCTCCAGACTGTGAATTTAGTCACTAGTGTGGAATCTGTTAAGTTTGCCAAACCCCTACCCTCAAATTAAGTGCACCCATATTTGAGAAATTACAAAAATTAAGGGGACATATGTCAACATTGTCCTAAAGAAATGCCTTTAATAACTCTTTATATGTCCCAAGATTTTCTCTTTAATTTCTTCTTATTTTGATATTTCCTTACTTTTTATTAGTGAATCAAGGAAATAGTAAAGGATTAGTGCCAAGAAAATAAGCCTTTACTACTTAGTTTTATTCACTTTCTGTCAAAAGAGTCAGATGAAAAACTGACTTGAACTCACAATGCCACAAAAAATTTTACTGACTTATGACAAAAAAGATGTTGACTTAAAATGAATCTTTCTAAAGCATTTCCTTATTTTAAAACATATATACAGCCCAGCCAGGCGTGGCTCAGCGGTTGAGCACTGACCTAGGATCCAGGTAATTGGGGTTCAATTCCCAGTCAGGGCACATGCCCGGGCTGCGGGCTCGATCCCCGGTAGGGGGCGTGCAGGAGGCAGCTGATCAATGACTCTCTCATCATTGATGTTTCTATTTCTCTCTCTCCCTCTCTTTTCCTCTCTCTGAAATCAATAAAGATATATTTAAAAAAATAAAATAAAACATACACACACTCTAGTATAATTAGTGGTAAACACATCACAAAAGCATTGGAAGTTAAGCCATGCACATACATGCAGTTTTTAAACCCTGCCATGCACCTTTCTCAGTATATTCCATGGAAGGCTAAATAATTTTCAGAAACCGAGGAAGGAAAGTCATAGATATACAATATAAAACATGAGAATGAATTTTTTATTTTAGAAAATTAACCATATCCTTTCACAATGAAATCCGTATTTTCACTTATGCTCGCAGCATTGTGAAATACTGATTTTAACCTGGCTAGCCATGCTTCTAAGAAAGAGCCTGTCTAGGTTAAATAAGTGGGGATATTAATGAATATCAGCTAGGCAATTTTACAGGTTCATAGTAATTTGGGACACAAGTCACCATTGACTAATATAATACTGATTTATCTGTGTCAGTTCAGTATCCCAAAGTAGTCTGGAAATGCCAGTGAAAACAAGCATAGAAACAGTGAAGCAGGGCCATGCCAATCACCCACGCACCTGGAGGAACTACTCCAATACCATCGTCAACCTCATAATCTGAGATGTCACTGTCACTGATTCGCTGAGATCCTGCACAACAGGAAGGCAAACAGATACTCTGTATCTTGTTGGTTTGTGAAATGTAAATGACAGGGTAACAGTTCTTTAAAAAAATCCAGCTAATGACATTACTACTAAATATTTTTGAAAAAGAATCATACAAAGTAAACAAACAGCAGATTTATACAGTACTGTTTCTTCTCCAAGGATAACATTTTCTAGGTATTTCCACAATAAAATCACTGAAGACATATAGAAGGACTTCATGGAGTAAGGTTGGATTTTCCAAATTATTCTTTAATTGTGGCCTTATTGCACAAGCCTATTGCAAAATGTATAGACTGTTTTCTACCCAGTGAAGTGCCCTCCTCTGCAGTTTAGGGAGGACAGGGCTGAGTGGAAAGGTTCAAAGAGACCTTTCCTGGCTGGAACTCCACTGAGCTCATATTATTGAAAGGACACCAGGGCCCTTTATAAAATATGCATGGTTAGCCATTACACTTCATTAAATATTAATATCGAGGAAATGCTTGATCAAAGAAGCACTAACATGAAATATTTAATTATATGAAGCAAACAATTCAGCTCTACATTACCGAAGTGAAGCTTCTAAGTTTCACTTATTGAATTAGAGATTTAGTCATAACTCAAAATTTAACGGATATGTACAGAAAAAAATAAGTTTTCCCCAATCACTAGATGAAAAACAACAAACATCGTTTATGTGGGTTTTAAAAAATTTTTAGTGAATAATAATACTAAAAATACCCAGCAACTATAAAGTTATTAAGAGGTTGCCGATTATATGTAGCAACCCAGCAATAATGACAAAAAATTACTCTATCGGTTAATCAGTCAACAGCTGAATCAGTAGAGGGCAAAGAATTGTAAGTCAGAGTGCTTCAACTTTCAGCTCTGGAATTACTCATTACGTATACACTACATCCTGTGGGAAAACGTAGAAAATAGTTTTGCCAGGTGTCTTTATATAAATGAATGATTTTCCAATATTCTGGTCTCTAACAAGCATCTGAGAAAATATTTTGAAAGTTAATCTCATTACAAAATTAATGAATTCTGGTAACTAAAAAGACCTTTAACCTACTCTGCAGTTTTTTGCTGGAGCTTTCTCCGTGAACGTGTCGCCTTGGCATGAAAGGTGATGGCTGAGGCAGAGGTAGTGAAGACTCATCATGTGTCTGCAGTTTATACCAATGCGGTTCATCATCTAGAAGTGCTGTCTCCAGTTCTATGAGGATCTGAAAGCGCAGTTCTCAAGTTAGACCAGCCACATTTACGGAAGTGTTACACAAAAGGCAACCACAAGTAACACATGTGACAGAAACTTCAGTAAGCATTGCAGTTGAATCCTTATCAAGTACATCACCTCTCCGAGAAATTCGCTCTCTTCTTCCTGCACTCTGGGTTGATCCCACACAGTGATTTCTAGCATCCGTTCTCTAAAATCTCTACGATGTACGTGGGAATAGACGAAAGTTTGATTCCATTTTGGTTCTAGTACTTTCTTTACGGTTTTGGTCCTTCTCTTACTTTTATCGCTGAAAAATAAGTTTTCTTTGGTAAGTGAAAGAACAAAAGCAAGCATATGCTGCCACCTACTGTAGTTACGTGTGATATTGCTATTGGGATTTTTACTATTTTTAATTCATATCTTTTCATATAAAAGTCTAAAAAAACTGTAGAGTTTAATGCTATTATAGTTTTAACTATAATGAAAGCAGTAGTTATGATTATAGGTACACATATACAAAGGCATATTCTAAATGATGTGTAGCTATCAAAGGCTGATAGGTATATAATGAGGGTAATGAAAGTTTTAAAATTGGGAGATTGTTTTTTTGTTTTAAATACAAGGCTTGAGGGCTTTGTTTTTCAGGGATAATGTAGTTTATTCCCTCAGATAATTATCTATTAAATTTTAAGACTATATCACAGGTGTAAGCATATGTCCACACTCATCAAAATGCACACATTAAATATGGGCAATTTTTGGAATAACAATTTTACCTCAATACAGCTTAACAAAATAAGTAAAAGTATACCCCAGAAAGGAAATTCTATCTTTTCTATTAGTAAAGATTTTTTTTGCATATTTTTTTCTAAAATTATTCACTACCTTCTATCTGGAAGAAAATACATTTTTACATAGGGATTCCTGGGACGCCCGTCTACTCTAGAAGGTAGATCTGTGGCTTGTAGAACATTTACAATCAGCTGGTGTCCCACTTTATCATACCACATTTTCACCTAGGAGCAATGAAGAAAGAAACTATTTGTAAAAATCATGAGGTAAAACTTTACAAAAATACTAAAATTATTTTTGAAGAAAAACTTTTTCAAGTGAAATACAATTGCATTATGGACATTGTTTTTTAAAAAGAATACCAATTTGAAAGCATAACTACTTAGAACTTGACTTTTCATGCATTTTAAACATAACTTACAACTGGTAGACCAGCAGTGTTATATTCTCTTATACGATACCATCCTATTAAAATAAAACTAATGATAAAAATTTTATAAAAAACTAAGGGAAGTAGGGGACACTAATTACCCTTGTTGTTGTTTTTTAACCTTCACCTGAGGATATGTTTTTTTTTTTCTTATTTTATTGATTGTTTAGAGAGAGAGGAAGGGGGGGAGTGAGAAAGAGACATCAATGCGAGAGAGAAGCATTGATCGTTTGCCTCCCATAAGCACCCCAAGTGGGGATAGAACTGCAACCTAGGTATGGGCTCAAACCCACAACCTACTGGTGTAGGAGACAATGTTCCAACCGAGTCACTAGCCAGGGCTATCCTTGCTTTTCAAAGCTAAATGCAAGTGCTTGGTGATTATCAGCACTTAATGATTATAGTATGGCTAAATGCATTTTATAGTACCATATGTAGATGAAATAAAATGAAATATATACAAATGAGCTGGAGGAGACCAGGAAACACATTTACTGTGGCTCTACTGTACACCAGGTACAGTTGTTTTCTGTTTGTGTTCCTTATTTAATTTTTATAATTAACCTGTTATAGGTTAAAATTCATGAGAGACTAGGAAAAGAACATAGGGATATGCAATACATAAATGATGCCTTCAAACTACGTGAAGGCCCAATAATGATATTTCTCCTAAGGTTTCATGATAGTTTGAATAAAGAAAAATGGGAAAATGACACACTGAGTCTATTGTTAGGCTTCTAAGAACCAGAACTTTGGCAGCCAATTTAGTATTTGTGTTGGCCATGGACAATGTTAACTTTGCTTTAAAAATGTAGAAGTCAGTTTTGGTTTTATGGTTAAATAAGAGCACAGTTGTTTAATGGGTATATACTGGAACATATTTAAGTCATTATAAGCAGATAAGCTAATTTTCCGTGGAATTGTTTTTTCACAGTAAAGCACAGATTGATGATTCAAACACGGATCTGTATGAATCCGTATCTCTGTTCCCAGTTACCAAGAAAGGTTTTAAAACTACAGCAAGCTTACAGTTATCTTCTTTAATTAAAACCAAGAGAAGAGCAGCAAAAACAGACTATAGAAATCCATATTTTACTAACAAAGAAAAAGATCAACTAATATTTATAGAATAATTTAAAGCAAGGTTTTCTTCTAGTTATTTATACAAATGTGCAGTATTCTACAATAATCTACAAAGATTTGCATTTTCCTAAGTTAGTCGTAGTTTCTTTATCCAGCTTTTCCCAGATCATAGATAAGGCAACAGTGAGGAAAACTAAAGCTTGTTCAGAGTGATATCACCATAAAGAGTTTCAACAGATGTCTTAAGAAGTTAAAAAGAATATTTTAAATTTAAATGTTTCAGTCTCCAGGCTCATAAGTTTGTTAAGTAAATAAAACAACTTTTTAAGTTGATTATGTCTAATCAACTACTTACCTCAGAAACTTTTGTATAACAGACAAAATATAATGGATATTTTATTTATTTATGTTATCATTTAATTTCAGGACATCTGGCAAATTACAAGCACCCAATAAATATTTCCAAATGAAGATAGAAACAAAGGAATAATCTTTAAAAATACATAAAAAATTGATGTAGACAATGGTGTTAAGTGACTATGAATATATCATGAGCTTCAAAGAAAGCCATACATTTTTTTAAGATACACTCAGAACAGTGAGCAAGTACTAATGATCTTTACCATGTACAAAAATTACGTACAGAAAGTTGTCCTGGTAAGACTTGCGGGGCATCTTTTAGAGCTCCAGGACTTGTTGGAGAAATAACAGAAATGGAAGGCCTTTCCATCTTCTGAGATTCAAAAGAACTTGAACCTAAAATGAGAAAAAAAATTTAAGTAATTTTCAGTAACATATTTATAACAGATGTGTGGGGAATAGATTTTTTTTTATAAAATGTTAAATGCATGTTATTTGTATAAAACCATAATTAAATACCAACAATAACAGCAGAGCCTGCTTTCAATTGGATAGTTGTAGAAAGTTATCATCTTTGATTGTAGAAAGTTGTCTTCTTTGATTACCTGCCTATTTTAAAAGTAATTAAAATGACATAATCAAATATTTTATTTATTTGTTTTAACTTGTAAGTGCTGATTTTCTGCATTTTTGGAGGGTATTTTACAGTTTAGGCTCTTGTATAACCTCCCATATAGGTAAGAGGCTTCAGGCCTTTAAGGGTAAGAAAGATGGTACCTGTTACTCTCTTGACTAAATGATCATCTATTTTGAACTATCCGTAATCAAATTAAAATGAATCCATATATAATAAAGTGTATGAGTAGATCTAAGCCTGGAATTCATCCCTGTTCTAAAATAAGATTTATCATTTATCTCAGTTTAGCTCTTACAAAGGAATCTCCTGAAAGTCTGAGAATGCTGTCTCTGTGACGCACCACAAGTGACTTGCTTCGCCTGGTGTGGAGGAGGCTGGCTCTCCACTCAGTCATTCAGTGAAGCCCTTTCCTCCCACTTTTCAAAGTCCTCTCTTCCCAAATCACTGCTTAAATATACCCTGGCCAAATCGGCAGTACAGAATGTCTGTATAATGCTGTTACTCCAGTAAGTATAACCTTGAACAAACAGCCATTCAAAGCTTTTATTAGCTTTATTGATAAAACACTACTTATGGAGCATTGCTTGAGAATATGCTATCTACACAATTTTTTACACATGTAAATAAAGTGTAAATTAAACCACATAACATCATTCTGTACCCTCCAAAACTTTTAACTATAAGAGAGTGCTATAAAATTCTTTGTTACTATGTCTCTTGTTAAGTTCCCTTAGGATAAACTTTTTCTTGGGTCTCTGTACAAGAACACTGTTGCTTCTAATAATCAGTTTGTTTAAATCACTGTGTATTTTATATGTCTATAAGCTGGGTTACATAATAACACTTGGTAATCAAGACCATGCATTATTAATTTAATGCCGATCTATGGCAAAGTAAATATTTGGGTCCCTTTCACATTCACATTGGAAACAGCATTACTTGCCCACACTTGGCATACAATGTCTCATCTGGAGTGTCTTTAACGCTCATGTAGATAACTCAACCCTCTAGACTCACTGTCCAATGACCCACTCATAACCACTGAATTTTACCTCTACTCCACCTACTCACTTCCATGATGATACACAACACTGTTGTGGTGTAGGAAAATTACTTGTTAATGTGCCTGTTTCCTTCACTAGGCAGCTCATGAGACTGAGTCAATTGCCAATCAAACTGAATAATCCAGATCACAGTAAATTTTTATGTACAGCAAATAAAACTACTGCTGGTATAATAACTGAGCTCTGTGAAGGTCCTGACTTTTTTGATTCAGAAGGGTATTGTCAATAAAGATTTTTGTATAGACACACACACACACACACACACACACACACACGAGACAAAGAAAAATCTTAAAGAATTTCTTCGAATTTCCAATGACTGTCATGGTTGCAAACTTCTGATATCATTGGAGATAACCTTAGTATAGCGATACCAATTCATTCACATCAAATCATTAAATCAAACAATGTCTTTACTCTTCATTCAACACATATATTAATAACAAGAAATCTTTCTTATACTCACTGGACTCCAGGGGAGGATGGGAGCTCTCAGGAATCCGTGGAATGTCACTAAAAGAAACAGTGCAGGGTGAACTTCCCCTTAGCTCTACTACCCTGCCTGAGGCAATCACAGCCACACTTTACTCAGGGGTGTGATAAATCCTTTTAGGTCTTTACAGGTGTGGAAATGGACAGGAGTTACTATTAAGGCAGTTACTAATGTGCATGAATGTCAAACACCACACAAAAATAAAAACTGCAGTAAAAATAAGTTTTTATATATTTAAGAGCAAAACACTTTTAACATGACGACAATCAGACTAATATTGTGGCTAAAATCACCACAATATTTTTACTACCAAAACAGCAGGTTTTGGAAATAAAAAATGTTAAAGGTAATAGTTTACTTCAATTCTAGAAAATTAAAATGACACATATTTTACAAATCAGTAATATGTTTTACAAACACATCTGAAAGAGTTTACTGAATGGAAGGGATGAAAACATCTCTTGATACTAAAATAATATGGTGAACATCATGGGCAAAGTTAATCAAATGAAAAGAATGGATTGCACTGAAAATTAAAAATGATACAAGCTTGCAACAAAAAAGCCAAAATATTTTATATATGTGAATATATAATTCATATACACATATATAACCCTATATAGAGATTCATATCTCTGTACTGAAGTTAGCTAAATAGATGGTCATTTAGATATGATTAGAAAGTGACTTGTGAGAACACCCATTTCCTGTCACACTCACAAATTAACTCTGGATAAATATTTAATAGCCCTCAGCTTAATCCATTATCCACTGTGACCCTAGGAACCCTGGGCCATCTCAGTTTGGAAATTGTGCTGCACAGAACTTCTTTACCTCTGGTATTCCACAGATATTTTAGTATCAATGTAAAGACCTGATTAACAGTATGTAAGTATTAACATGACATATTAAAGCAGACTGGAGTAAGCTAGTATCAACAGAATTATTAAAATATTATTTAAGAATTTCTAACCACTTACCTTGTTATTTAACTTCAGTTTGATTTTCTTTGCACTTTTGGGGG